CATCTTTACTTAACAGGCCACGGAACCCGCCTGAATGTCAACCGGAAAGAGACATAGTCTTGAACTATCTGCTCACGAGTTTTTGTGTGATTATCACTTATGGGTTGATTGATCGGGGTCGACAGCTGTTCTCGAATTGCTCACGCTTTTCTCTTGTTTGTGCATGCCTGTGTGTGTGTGTGTGTGTGTGTGTGTGTGTGTGTGTGTGTGTGTGTGTGTGTGTGTGTGAATATTCCACTGGACTATGTTACGCTATTCTTTTTGATCGGATTGCGGTGAATTGATCTGCGCATTGCTCATGTTTTGCGGGTTTGTTCGCGGTTTTCCGCCGCCATCCCTACCACATTTTCGGTTTTACCAGTGGGCATCCTTTTCCGTTTTTTTAGATGTTCAGTTATGCTTCAATGTAGGATGTTTTGTTTTTGTTTCTGTCCTGTGTGTGTCTGTATGTGCACAAAAGTCACAAACCATTGAGGGCTGGCGTCCAGTTAATTCGATCGTACGCCCTTCGGACGGGGTCAAACGTCCAAGGTGTGGAATACACCTTATTGCCAAATCGAACCACTTAGCACTGACATAACCAGGGAGGTGTGAGTGTTTGGGGTTTGGTCGGTTTGGAATCAGAATGTTTAGCCAACTCCCTTAGGTGAACAGCCGCAACCCGAGACACCCACATATCTGACCATGATGACGCTCTCGAAGGCTTCCTCTATCTTGTTGTGTGTTGTAGGAGGTACATCCCATGGTTACGAAATCAAAATCGTTGAACTTGCAGTATCTCTATAGCTCCGCGTTTTTTATCAAAGGGAGTAATTTCGCCCCCCGGAAGTCAGGTTGTACCAATGTTGTACGATCTCCGAACTGTGAGGATCAAAGTTTGTAGAGTATGTGCCTGCATCAGTTCACTGTCACCATCCGTGAACCGTGCAAATGTGTCGCATACTGTCATTGTTATGATTTTGGGATCGCCGTCGAGCTCAGTCAGTAGCCACTTTAATATTGAACTACGAACATCCTAAGGGAGTATTGCCCTTTTATTGGATCACAGTTTGTATGCTCCTTAGCCCTCAGTGTTGATTGTTGCCTGTATCGACATTTCTGACACACATGCCTCTCACTCACCATCTCATCAACTGGTTCAATGTTTTCCCAACCCTTCCCATTCTTTTTTTCAGTTTGGCTGAGATGAATGAACAACTAGCTTTCCGAGAAGCGGCTGTAAGTTTTTCCGAATGCATCGATAGTTGTGCTATTTCTACTTTCTTCCCATTTGAGTCCATATTCGAACTGACCGGAGGTTTTTGTGCTGATGGGTAAAAACGAAACCAGTGATGATGTATGGTCCGCGTGGGTTGGTGGTGGCGCAGTGATTTAGTCGCCGTTACCGGCGTGCTTTGGACCCTGTGGTCCAAGCCCCACCACTACCATCCAACTCTGGTGATAGGCAGCTCTGCTGTCGTCCGGTTCAATACCGCGCCTAACCTATCGGGGCCTTATGTGGTTCGTTACTAAAAGTCCCGGGGCTTAGGTTGCTGGTTACCATCAACGAAAAGCAGGTCTTTGTGGCTATAAGATCCGCCCCGTTTGTTGTGCGTTACACACTGGTGTGTAATAAAACAACCTTGCAAGGTTATAGTTGGGAGAAGTAGACTGAGCGGATTTACGAAACACACTGAAAGATATGGCACATCTAGAAAGTAGCAGTCTCTAAAAATGTTCCCTCTTTGAACTCGACCCGATCCCAATGCGATGTCTCTTACACTTTTAACTGCGGTAAAAATTCGCACTTGACTAATCACCGCCGCATTCATTTGACCAC